CACACTCACACAGCCAAATGTTTATTGCAGTCGCGAGCGAGCGACACATCATGACCGTGACACAGTCTTTCGAATTCTCACGCTCGTTCTCTCGTGACAGACGGTAGCGAAACGCCAACTTTCTCATTTTCGCGTGTGCGCACCTATACGTATAACCGTTCACTAATAACGTCGCAGTACCGCGTATGCTGATCGCGAATATCAGCGTATACAGCGAGACACAGCGAGTCTCGAGGCTCCTCCACGCTCGTCGTAGTCGCTCGCTTTAATAGAAAATGTACTCGTCGAGTGATAATCTTTATACATAAGCAGGAAAAACACGAGTCTCGCAGCTTTGTCGCTCGGCTTAATTATTATGGGCTGTAGTTTACAGTAGGGAGGGCTGCGGAGTAATCAAGCGCGCGCGCGCCAGAGACCTACGCTCGTCGGCCGACGGGAGCTTATCGTGAAATTATAATGTCGATAGCTGGTGCGCGCGCGCCTGTAGAGTGTACTTTATATGCATTATAAATACACTTTGTTGCACGAAATTCGGCGCGCAGTTTATACGCGAAAACTGCCGCTATATAGCATACATTATGTAGCAGTATAGCTGCGTGGAACAAGTCGTAACGAAGTTTCGCCGTAATCATTTTATAGAATCCGGTTATCATCATCGTCTTCTACGAGGAGAAGGAGGCGATCTTTGTCCCCCGTAAACGGACATTGTAATGGCTCTGGTCCGGTGTAACTCGTCTTTAAGATACAAAGTTGGTTATATCGAGAAACTTGCCCGAGAGAAGCAGGAGGGTAAAGTCTCGATAAAAGCGTAAAAGTAAAAGTAGATGAAAAAAAAAAAAAAAAAATGAAATGAAAAAAGAAAGAGAGGAAAAGGAGCCACGATACCGAGAAGCCAGAACGAGGATAATATTCAAATTTCTCGATTTGTGTTTGACCTCAAGGCTGCTCGTACTACTTGATGGCGCAGTGGTAGCAGTATTGCTGACGTCAGACACGTACGCGCTCTGCTCTCTCGCTCGTGTGGGTGTGTGCACTGCGCTGCACTCCACGCGTATTATATATACGTGTAAGTGTACCTTTGACTGTGTGTAAAGGACGACAACGACTCGCACACAGAGCCACACACATACGAGGGGATATGGTTACATACTTTACGGTGTTCTCTATCTCTTAACGTGTAGGGAGAAAGAGAGAGAGACAAAGAGCAAGAGCTAAAGCGGGTGAGAGTGAGAGAGAGAGAAAGACAGAGTAGTAGGGTAACTCTACATCTGCAGGTCAAACGAGGTCGCAGTGTCAGTGGTGGTAGTGCAGCTCGTTGCTGCTACTGCTACTGCTGCTGCTGGTGGCGGCGGCGGCATCGAACCGCATCAAGTCTCTGTTAAAATATGTAGTCCATCCTCTCGTTTCTTTTTCTCTCTTCCTCTTCCTCACCTTCCATCGTTCGCCCGAGGATCGCGGAGATTTTTCATGAGTTTAAATATTTCTCTGTAGGTTCTCGCTAATGTCTGGTAATTTTTTATCTCGTCCAGCCTAAACGCAGCTGGGAACAAATGAAGTCGAATCGGCTCTCGAGCCCGAGCTTTAATGTTTAAGTTTTGTTCACTCGTGTCCATTTACAGAGCAGCTCTCTCGACGTAACGAGTGCTAGAGTTTATACAGCTATAAGGCGACTCTATATGTACACGACACGTTTGTCCATGTCTGCGCGTGTGTGCGTGTTATAACTGTGGCAGTATGCCAAACGATTGCATATGTGACGTTTCCATTACCCGAGCTCGAGCCGTGGTCGGTGGCGGCGGTCCATGTGTGGCAGGCGCAACGCCGCTACGTATTATTTTACGGGCAAATGTGTATGCATAACAAAAGGCTCGTTGAATATCATATCGTTTGCATGCATAAAGGCTGCTGGCGGACCTTCCCCTCCTCCTCCTCCTGACCACCCTCCGCCTTCGGACCAAAAGTTCTTTGTACGTGTATGGCAGCAGCTCGTGCTTAATGACCCGCAAACAGAACATTCTATTGGCTACTTGTGTGCAAGCTCTCACGGGCGGGCGGCTACGTGTACGTACCGAGTTTAATAATATATACACGCGTTTCGCATGTACTATAACCGCGCGGAGTCAAATTATCTCTATGGCTAGATATACTAGCAAGTAATTGTATGTCATTTGCACGATGAAGTATTGCCCGCAATGTGAAATTGAAACGGGTTGCGGTGATTTATTGACTCTCGCAGCGGCGATCCGAACCCGAAATATATATAAAGGCTATGCTTTACGCGGAAATATAAAAGCAAATACGTGGGTACGTATAATAGGAGATCGTACGCGGAACCCGTTGAATAAGAAAGAGTTAATTCATTGGAAAATAAAAAGTCGACTGATCGAACTCGAGCCATGCTGCCGAGGCATGGCAGGCAATGTAGCGAGAGATAACACGCTTTCAGGCGCTCATTTGCTCGAGATTCTGCAGTACTTTTTCATCGTTCCGCTCGCGAAAATGATCCAACTTGGCTTCTCGACATCAGCAGCAGCAGCAGCACGTTTTCCGTAATTTCACTAATTCGAATTTCCTCGCTTCCTTCCTCGTGCAACTACTCGCTGTAGTAGGATGCATATCGTTGTCAAATCGTCGTACTCGTCGAGCTGCGAAATTATCCTTATACTCAATTGATTTATACACACACACGCGTTACGTGGGGTAAAGTAACTTCCTCTCTGTCTCTCTCTCTCTGTCCCTCTTTTGCCATGCTCCGCGCGCGCGCGCGACATAATCTCTCTCATGACGGATCTATTCTGCGAGCGGTGCAATTTCCGCGCGTTAGTTCCATCGTGCACGAGTCGACCAACCAGGCCAGCCACTCGTGCGCGAGCGACTCGATTAATTAATCGTCGCGAAACCGCAGCGGCGACTGATGTGTGCACACATACCTATGTATATATAGAGGTACGCGCACGTATCATCGCGTTATACGCATACCACGTACATGTATTATATACGTAGGGGGATACTCGTCCAATGTCGCACGTTACAGGTATCGTTATGTACGCTGCTGCTGCCGCTTGTCCCGCTTTTCGATCTACGCGCGGGATGGCCGGAGCCCGCAGCTCGGCCAATTTGTACGCTATAATGCGATCGGAAAGTATGCGCGCGTGTCAAGCACGATCCGCGCGTGTAATCGAGTTGTTGCGTAGCTGCGTTTACCGCCCGATAACTCCGCTATGATCGATATTCATTTTACTTCTTTTTTTCATAATCAGTTCGCTCGAATTCGGATATAATTGTTATAGGCGCGTGATTTATAAAACGTTACGACGTGCCGGGATAGCTAATTAGCGTGAAATCGATCAATGCCGCACCACAATAAAGAGAATAATAAATGTTTGGCGCGCGCGCGAGAGTAGGGGAATACAACGCGGAGTAGAGAGATCTCACGCGCGCGCGCCTCGTTAAATTGGCCGGATGATTGTCCCATCCATCTCTATAGGAAAGAGGCGGCGGTGGCGGTCGCACAGCTTGTGCACGCTCCGCACCGTATACCCGACATAGCGCGCAGCTCGACGTATAATATGCAGGACAAGCACGTCTCGTTTCTCTCCTGGGACGAGCGAGAGGCAGGAGGAGGTAGGATACCACCACAATGTGTACCACCGAGAGAGAGAGAGAAGCAGAGCAGTGCTGCAAACGTGACACGCTTATCTGAAAAGTCTATTATCTAGGTTGAATGTGTTTGCCGCATAATCGCTCTGCGCAGGATACACATATAACGACCAACCAGGCACAGATCGACTGCTGCTGCTGTTTCGCTTCATAGACTCGACGATGGGTCTAGCTTCGAAGCTGCTTATAATATTATCAATCGCCGCGTACCGAGACTCGGCTGTATCATACCCACAGCTACTCCGATCGCGAGGATAAACTCGTGTCAAAGGCAATTTCATCCAAGTGCAGCTCGTCGACGAGTACAGTCTCTTTTTCATTCAGTCCATGATCGCGACAGCGCAGCCTCTTCCACGTTTTATGCATCACTCGTCAGAGCTCGAGCCGCACGAGGTGGCCCCGTGGCAAGTCGCAACTCGCGCGAATCGTTTCCTCCTCTTTTTCGATGTTACCTCGTTAGAGTGTAGCCGCGAGCTCGCAAGGGGGCATTATACATGGTGCGCGGCTGCATACTGTGCCGATATATACCGTATACGTGTGTCTGTGTGTATGTATACCTGTGAGCGCGAGTAAAGCCCAAAAGGCCATAAAACGAAAATTATTGGACGTGGGAGATTTCGATTCTCTCTCTCACACTCGATCTCACTCTCTCTCTCGCTATCGATAGCCAACTATACGCCGAATCTAAATTCTCACGCGCGCCCGCTTCCACGGTGCCGCTATACCGCGCGAATGCCCTGACACATTGCTCCGAGCGCACGAGCTCGCATACGTACATTAAGCACATACAGGATGACCCGGAGCTTATTCATCCCAGCCGAGCTCTAAATTTTCCCGCTCTCCTCTGCAGCAGCACGAGCCACGACCACTTTTAGAGAGCTTTATGTACCGCTCTGTGCGCGCGCGAATGCCGACGAGGCAATTTTTTCGAAAGCCCTGCGTGCGCAGTGCCTGCTCACTTAAACCAAGTATAAATGTACAGACCTAGCAATCGGCTGAGATTAAAAACCAGAATGAAGTCACCAACCTGAAACACAAAACATAACGATATGGGGGGTTAAAACGTTAAAAAAGGGTAATATATGGTATTGTAAAGCCAAGCTAAACGAGGACATAATGATAATTGCGTTAATTGGATGCTATTGATACTGAAAATTATAAGTATTTCGTTGGTCAAATCAATCGAATACAATCGAAACGGGAAAAACGTACCAGGCTAATGTCGTTTTCATTTTTAGAGATAATTCAGAGCCTAGCATTTTTCATTTTATTTTTAAAAGCAAATAGTGAAGAAGTAAAAATTATGACCCCCATATCACCCTTTTAAAATTCGACCCGAGGCTGACGCAAGTATACCGAACTGTTTGTATACGGTGAAGTATCGGGAAGTCGCACTCGCGAATTATTTGATAGTGATTAATAGCCACTCGAGTGATTCATCGCTGTTGTTCTTGCTGTCATTGTTGTTTTTGAATATAAACAGATCGAGTTTTATAATATACGAATCACCCAAATAAGTTATCTCTCCAGCGATAATCCAAGTCTACGTTATTCAGGAAACAAACGTCGGGTAAACGTTCGCTCTTCCTTGAGAGTTGCTCTCCGAATTCTTGGCAGAAATTCTCCCTTTTTTTCTTTTCTTTTTTTTTTTTAATTCACAGCTACTCAAAAGTTCAAGAGCCGAGAGATCGAAATTGAAAAAGTCGATTGTCTTCTTCCTGAATATCAGATTTGCTATCTTCGATTTGTAAACAAATCAATTGCAATTCAATCGAATGGCTGGTTATTTTTGAAGTCGGTAAAAAGCCCACGATTGCGGCCAGTGCAATACTTGAACTTTTTCGTCAAAATCTGCCTGATAAAATTGAATCATTTTGCATTAAATTTAGCGAAAAACAAACACGTTATAATTAATTATTCAATTTTTATTTGTGCTCGCACTTGACGAGCACAACATCTGTTGGCACGTATTAATCAAATAATATGAGCTTTGGAGAACTGTAACGTTGAGTAATAAGTCAACAGCGATATACTGCAGGCGATAAAAATCAGCATGATAAAGTAAATTCATATTAATAGATTCTCGTTCGTTTTTAATTATCAGAAAGTGCTCGTGCTAAACGCTCGTACACGATGTATCGCCACTGCCTTTTAGCTCTTTGTCTCTATGTTTATTTGGGTAAGTAAACAAACAAACCAAAAAACTTCGACACAGCACTATTCATTCACTAGGCACACATAAATATTATTGGCACTCCATCTAAAAGATTGCAAGCTTCGAGTGTAAATGAAAATTGATGAAAAAAAACTGATTTTTATGTTGTCTTTCTAGGCCAGGCTGTGAATGCAGCCCCGACCGAGCGCCATGCGGAAAACGGCCGCAGTAGCAGTTACCTGCGAGTCGTCAGAGGCGAGACTATTGACATTCAACAAGCTCCGTATCAGATAAGCCTGCTAGACAAATCGACGGGTAGTCACGTATGCGGCGGTACTATCCTCTCTAGACACTGGGTACTGACGGCGGCCCACTGCGTCGTGTTCAGGCCAGCGGCCGAGGATTACACCGTGCGCTCGGGCTCGAGTTTCACGACTCACGGGGGTCAGCTGCACGACGTCGTCCAAGTTCTCATGCACGAGGATTATTTGGGCATCGAGCATGGCGCGCCTGTCAACGATATTGCCCTTCTGAGAGTCGAGCAGCCGTTCGTCTGGGACGACACTACGAAGAAAGTCGATCTGTTCGACGAGCATGACAAAGCCCGATTGGGAAGCACTGCTACCGTCACCGGATGGGGTGAGCTAGATTTCATTAGCGACTGCTCGTTCCCTTGTTGTTTTGTTTATTTAATAATGTACCGCAATTTCTCGTAGGTATGACTGAGGAACAAAAGCCGGCGGTTCAATTGCAGTCTGTAGATCTGACTCTTCTCGACTTGGCCAAATGTCACGAGGCTTATGAGAAATTAGGCGGTGGAATCGAGGGCCAGATCTGCGCGGCTCATCTGACCGACCCAAAAGACATGTGTGACGGCGATTCAGGTGGCCCATTGATGATCGGTGAACGTCAAGTCGGAATCGTCTCTTACAGTGGGCCGGGCTGTGCGCTGCCCGATTATCCCGGTGTTTACACTGAAGTTGCTTATTATCGTGCATGGATTGAAAAACATACAAATTGAAATATTTACCTTTTTAATCTTCATGACAAATCTGTCAAAAAAAAACAAACAATGCATAGAGATAAAGAATAAGATATACGAATACACATAATTTATGGGTCAATATATGCTTATTATCTGTACTTGTGTATTAATAAACAGCCGTATACTGACATACAAATTTTTAGCCAATATGACGTTCATTCAAAACGAAATTTCACACTTTTTTCCATTACCCCATGTAGATATATTAATGTAGAATCAATTATCAAATCACGTAAAAGATGAAAAGATAAGTTGATTTTTTTGTATTACAGGAAAAAAGATGTAAGTGACGATCACGTGATTCACCCATTGATCAATCGATAAATTAAGATAATCGATCAAAATTATGTTAATGATTTAATCGCATGGAAAAAAAATAGAACACACACGGCCAACTAATCACATTTATATAGAAATTTTTTTTATTTTTTTATTCAAATCATCTTCTCATAAAATATTCAAATTTTCTTAAAATAAATAATTAATCGATTTCTTTCAATTCTTCTGGCTTTGAGTGCTAAAAGAAATTTTTATTTCACCAAACTGAAAATTCACACATAAAAATATGATTCTAACGAAAATTAAGGTTTCTTTAGAGAATTGTGGAATTTATACTTATAAAAAATATCGATAGCTAATTCTCCGTGAAGTAAATCTGCAGTACTATATTTACACGCATAATATCAAAAATAATCATAATAATAATTTTAAAATTTTTCTAAAATGTTAGTACAATATTTTTAAGCATATTTAAAATACATATAAAAGTCTGTTATTTTCAATTTATAAAGCCTATTGACTTTGAGCCGGAATGGTAGCGGTATGAGAAAAGTAGACCGTTCAACAAACTACGCGACCCTGTAACTCCGTAGGAAATTCATGTATCTTATGAAAAAAGTTAATTTTTTTTATTATTAACAATTGGTTCCCATAAGATACATGTATTTCCTACGGAGTAGCAGGATCGCGGAGTTTGTTGAACGGACTACTTTTTGCAAAGCTCTACTATCGCGACTCAAAGTTAATATAACTCCATAATAATATACTGTACGAGATTTAATATTTTCTTATTCTAATGGAGCAAGTAGTAAAAAAATTTTTATATAAAATATTTTACTTGCATGTAAAAACCTTACATTAAAAGTCCGGAAAATTGATAATTAAAGTTAATATCTAAAAACGCCAAAGAAATTTTTCATGGAAGGGTCCATAACTTATTTCAAGAATTTCTGAACATATTTATTATGTAAAGTATATTTTCAACAATTTATTTTATGACAAAGACTTCTGAAATTAGCTTAATCCACAAGGTAAATTGTTGAAATCATTGATTAAATGACTAAGCAATCATTTATTGATTTTCTGAGTATTATTTATAGATGAATTATCCATTCAGAAAAGTGATATAAAAAATCTGATCAGTTATTACCTGAATTTGTTTATATATGAGCAAGTGTAACAAGATTTATGAAAGTTATTTTTGACGGGACAGTGTAGACTTTTAATTGATAACACTTTCTTACTTTAAATATCTAAGTAATGTTCATTCCAAACAAGTCTTGTATCATTACACATTAAAGATTACATGCATGCTAATTTTTGAAACATAAAAATGTATTTTATTAATTTAGCTCTATGAAACTTGAAACGCCTAATTTAAGAAATTGTATCAATTAAAAAAAATTGAAAATTTATGAAAACATTATTTTTATTAGAAACAGTCAGTCATTCTGCACAATAAAATGCTCTGAACATTATTACATGAAATGGGATGCTGAATTATAACAAAGGTAAATCAAGTGTTTATTAAACAGTTGATGATATACTAAAAAAATTATAGATTCGACACGTGTATCGATTCTAACAATGATAACATAGCTGGACAATTAAATTTTGCAGTTCATTCAATCATTTCGAATCAGATAAAAGTTTTCATTTATCGATTTGATCGAAATTCTGCGACTCGATAAAAGTCTCGACTGCGGTATGTGACTTTGTCATACTGCTATCACATGTTAAATTGCGTATTAAACAAAAATTACAAGTACAGTTGTATTTTAAGAACTGACCGCTTTTGCCGAATTTGATGTGCAAAACAATTAATCACCACACGATTTTGGTATTCATCCGTTTATTTACATAAATTTGATGGTCCTTTTTGGGAATCCCAGGGTAGATAAATACTTCAGATTTTATTCAGATTTTATTACTTAACTCGGAATCATCGAGTTCAAAATGATATCATATGAAAATATTATAATTAATATATTCACTCGTAATAATATTCACTCCCAACATTTAATTTTAATATAACTTATTATAACATTACATCATCTTCAATAAGTAACATTTAATTTTAACATCCACCTTATGATGTTATTTGATGTTTAATGTCAAAGGTAAAACTTGTTTTGCAAAGTTATTGAAGATATAGTTTTAATGTTAAATTAATTGAAAATACAACACCACGTATTTTTTAGCCAAATAAAATTCTGAATCAATAATTTCAAATATTTAGTATGAATTTTTTCTACATCCATTCCCATCCATTACACCAAACCAACTTTAAAACTTAGCTTAAAACTTTAAAACTTACTTTAAAACTTTAAAATCATGAATATTCCCTTTAAGGGGACCGACCTGTGTTAAAAGCTCGAATTCAGCTACAGCTAAAAATAGCTATATAAATCGAAATAGTGGACATTTTTTTTGTGATAGTAAAATATGTCTATTTTGCACCCGTTGACAATTACATCACTTTTTTCATAATACTAAATATTGTAATTGGATTTACTTGCCATGCGATTCTGACGTAAGTTCTTCAGCAATATTAATCTATGGGGTCTCAAAGTCTTCAGAAAAGTACCCCATCCACTTGGGCGGAGCAGAATTTAGAAAAATTGTGTACAACTTTATATACACGTCAAAATTTGACCATTTTAAAAAAATTCAATATTTTATTGACACTAAATGCTATATTTAAGCTTTTGTAATAGAAGCAAATTTTTTTCAAATTCTGTTCTGCCCAAGTGGATAGGGTACTTTTCTGATACTTTATTACAATATTGATGAAGAAGTCACGTCAGAATCGCGTGACAAGTAAATCCAATTACAATATTTAAAATTATGAAAAAAAAATGTAATTAGTACTTCAGAGCTTGGGTGGAAATTTTTTTTATCAATCAGGTGCCTAATAAACATATTTTACTATCACAAAAACAAATTTCCTTTATTTCGATTTATATAGTTATTTTTGAATTTAAGCTCTTAACACAAGCCGGTCCTTTTAATTGAATCCAAAGTTCTTGAAGTAATCAATGATATTGATTACTATGCACGATTTAATCGTTTCAAACAATTTTTTTTTTTAAATAATGTAACTTTCGTGTGTGAGATTACTATTTTATTCTACCATGAGCCGGAACAATAATGTTTAATTGAATTATCAATTCCATATTCGCATAACAGTAATGATTCATACGTTGTATCGCGTAGTCAAAATAATGAATCCTGATGAAAATAAAGAATTAAGATTTTTATCTGAAAAATAAGACAATACTGGTCAAAAAAATAATTTCAAACTGTATACAAAATTCAATTGTAAATAACGATTCACCATTCGAACAAAAATTTTTCAAATGAATTAAAATTTCTATTAATTTTGAATAATTATTAGAAAAAAATTGTCATTTTACAGTTTTTTAATGTTTTCAATTTTACATTATATTTAATGTCAATTGAAAATCTTTCATTAAAATTTTGCATGCTATGGAGTTGCAGGCACAAAAAAATAGTTAGCTAGAGTTAAGAAATTTTCTCTAATAAAGTCATGATTGTTTACCATACTAAAAAACGTAAATATTGAATGATTGTTTCATCTCATTTAACTCTATTTTGAATAAATATTTAAGCAGCACATCGTAAGATTAAATTTATAAAATAAAATTCGATATTGAATTTATAAGCAATGAATGACCTAAAAACTCGCAATTGTATTTGCTTTTCATTTTTTTAATTCTTATAAATTTAATAAACTGGTGGTATAATGAAAACAAGTCAAAAGATCTTTTTTATAGAAATATCATTAACAGAGATTCCTGTCATGACGTCTTCTATTCTAGTTACTATATTCTTTATTTGAACGATAAAGACAACTCTTTGCACTGAGAGAAATGGCATTTCTAATACAAATAACTTCATTTGAATTAAACAAGACAGACCAGTTGCTACGAATCGTTATATAACTGCGTAATGAAAATTATGCCAAAGATACGAGCGGTACGCAAAATGTGATGCAATATTATTATTTATGTGTACAAATTCCAAACTTTGTGAGTAAACGCCAGCCATCGATAATATGTATAAGAAAATAATGTGTCAGTGTATCAATTACAGACTCTCACGAACTCGTAATAATAAGCACGTTTGTCACACTACACGATGAATTATAATCGATGATTAAGGCTCGCTGGGTCGGAAAAAATTTTAGCGATTTCAATCGGGACGATCGTCATCGTCATCATGAGCGCCGCCGGCGTTGGCGCGAGCAATAATAGTGGGGGAATATGCTATTATCAGAAGCGTGAAAAACCACGTTGCAAGCGATAAGGTATAACAACACAGCTCATTGCATGTAAATGACCGATCGCATTGTTTTTAGTATAAATATCTGTCAATTCTGCAACAGAAATCATAACGAGTTCGGCATACAAACGAACAAAATGTTCTCTGCTGTGTCGGCACTGCTCCTCGTGGCTACGGCCGCAAATGGTAAGTTATAACTCCATCAAAATCGAAGTTTTGAAAAATTAGAAGACACTTTCATAAGCGATTCTATTAATTTTTTCTTGTTTTTTTTTTTTAATATTTCAGCTGCCTCTGTCAAGCAAGTGTCAGTCTCACCCAATGGTCGTATTCACGGCGGTGAGGAGGTCGTCATTGAAAGCTACCCGTACCAAGTATCCTTACAGTACGGATCGCAACACATCTGTGGAGGCTCAATCATCGACAAGGAATGGATCTTGACTGCTGGACACTGCGTTGACATGCCCGCCTATATGATGTCAATTCGTACTGGTACATCTGAAAAAGAAGTAGGTGGCACCGTCCATCGCGTTGAAAAGATCATCCGTCACCCTAAATATAGACTCGACAATAGAGGCGTCCCATGGGACGATATTGCCCTGATCAAGCTCAGCAAGCCAATGATGTTCAACGACCAGCAAGATAAGATTGACCTCTACGAGAAGTTCGAAAAGAGCCAAGTAGGCGTCAATGCATCCGTTAGTGGCTGGGGTGCAACCGAGCATGGTTTTCCTAGCAGGCTCCGAGCCGTATCCATCCCAATCATAGACACCGCCCAGTGCGAATCGCTCTACCATAGCTTTGGCGGTATTCCCTACAAGCAGATCTGCGCTCTCTACTACGGCGGTGGCAAGGACTCTTGCCAGGGTGACTCTGGCGGCCCACTCGCCATTGCTTATCGTCTTGCCGGTGTTGTCTCTTGGGGCAATGGTTGCGCTCTTCCTGAATACCCTGGTGCCTACACAGAGGTTGCAGCCTATCGCGACTGGATCGATGAGAACATGAGGAAAAATTAAGTTGGAGTGAATCTACATAGTTCTCATTATTTAGAATCTTTCCGTCAACGTGATTTTTGTACCAATAGTATAAGTATCATATTTCTGTCATGAAAATGTTTATCACCACAATTGTGCACAAAACCGACTGCGAAAACTTTCGACTTTTTATATGTACTTAAGTAAATTAAATGTAAATAACTTAACTGCATATCTGATTTTTTATTCATTTCAAACCTACAAAACCTAAAGAGCACTTTCAATTCATCGCTATTTAATGCTACATTACGCACGGAATCAGAAGGATGATATTTTGAAAGTAAGTTTTTATTCTTGTTGAAGTCAAAAAAGTGACTACAACAGTTGCGATAGATTTTTAAAAATTTTTTTTTAACGCTCGGAAATCAATGTCTACTATCTGTCGAATAAAAATTTGTCAACTTTGCCATAAGGGTATAATCAATTTTATGACTAAAACATTGATTACATTTTTTTCTTGCACAACCGAATAGCATCGGTTTACCCTAATAATTACATTTGATGAAGAAATTGCCATTTTATTAATTTTTTAATGTAAAATATTGAAAATTTTGGCAGTTATTGTCGCTGTATCATATGACAAACAAACTCTAAAGAGCTTTTAGACATATTCTAGAGTAGATACGTGCTGTCTGCGCAGGTTAGGATAAAGAGGTTTTCGGGCTTGAGGCTTCTCTCTCTCTTTATTTCTCTCTCGTCACTGTAGTCTGGTTTCAGATCCGACTGCAGCACGTAAACTGTGCTAATGAAGGACACAAAGGACATACGATTAGCTATCGATAGGAGTTGCATCACCCTGCTCGTGCTATTAGACTTTAAATGTGTTTTTGACATGCTTAATCACGAAGTTTTATTGCGAAGGTTGCACGAGGTAGGTGTTGGAGGTCTCTCACTCATACATATTCACTCCTTTCTTGCCGATCCCGGCAGTCCGTGATGGCTGAGGGCAATGTAACTCCGTCTTATGGGATCTGTTCATCGGGGGTCCCCCAAGGATCGTCATCGGCACTAATTTTGTTTGATGTCTTGAAAAATTCCCTGCTTGACATGAGAAAACATGTTTTTTATGCATTTTCCATTTTTTTACCCATTTGGCTATCAAATTGTTTCTCTTAGTGTTCCGATGACAAAAATTTAGCAAATTTTGTATTTTGGTTTATCGATGAACATATTTCAATTCTGCCTCAGTCGATGAATACGAACAAGTTTATTTTTCATACTATTTTTGGTTTTTAATGGGGTTTAAGGCTATGAATATAATTTTCAACTATACATTTTAATTTCTCTTCAAATTTTAAAACAAAAATCACGTTCCAACCAATTTTTCATATTCCCCCCAAAAAGGCAGAATAAAATTTTAAAATTTGAATTCCAACTTTCAGCTCCTGTAGATCCATCAGAGATGGACCTAGAGGTATGAAATTTTCATGATTTTCATTTTTCAATGCGTTCTTCAAAAGTACATATTTAGTTTTTATTTTATTTTTTTAGGGGAAGACAGTTGACGCGATATAGCCCATACATTTTGATGACTCTCAACAGCAAAATGCTAATTGACGGAGCAGAAAAGCATCGTGCAAGTTAAACTTGAACCTCTGAAGAGTTATTTAAGAGAAATTTTTTCATAAAATCATTTCGATCAAGTGTTACGATTCAAAGGGCTAATCTGTGAACACTATTGTTCTTTAACGTGTTGCGAATGCAGATTTTTTTCGAAAAAAAAATCAGGAAAAAAGTAATCTACAATTTAAACTGTAATCCTAGCGCTTCATTTGAACAAATTTTATGCAAACATTACACTTTAGAGGTATAAATTTAACTTTTTGGGGTTTAAACCGTGTACAGTTTTAAATTGTCTTCGCAAACCCAGGTAGAAAAGATTATATAATTTTTATATTATAAAAGGTTATATGCGCAATATTAGATGCAAAAAATATATTTCTCATATGAAAACTTATCATCTTTTCTACTTGTGAAGTGTAATCTATAACCAAGCTTCAATTTTATTATTTTTATTATACGAGGCGCCGAAGTAGCTTTTTACTGAATGATGCAACAAAGTAGCATTGTGCCGAATAAAAATTAAATTGGCAGAATGCTGCTCTACTCTGTGAACTAGTATCTTGCTTCTAGGGGCCATCAATTTATTTTATTATCGTTTTAGTAATAATTTAAATATTAATTTTTGATTTTTATCGCTCGAAAATTCTTAACTCGATGAATTTTTTTACTTGTATTGGCTGTGCCTATACAGGGCAACTCGCTCTTAGCCAGCAGTCGATTGTTTCTCTCTCTCGCATTTTATAGTGAAATAAGATGTTTCTTACATTCTGTTGCAGCCCAAGTAGCGAGAAGATAGAAAAATAGAAAAAGAAAATTAAAATCTGAGCAAATTAGTGTTTGCAATTTTATTTAAATTTATTTATTTGAGGAATTGTTAAATAGAACATTCATTAAGAGTTAATACGGGTATGAAATTAAAAAAAATTCTATTTAAAGTATTAGGCGGTCGAAATGAAAAATAATGTTTTTAAGAGCAGGCATAGCAGCATTTTCAATACCCCATTTAAAAGTATTTTGTTCAGTTAAATACATTGTTAAAACATTTTAAAATCAAAATAAATTTTATTGTAATTTTGAAAAGCATTTTTTCTCCTCTTGCAGTAGCATTATTTAAAATTTCAAAATGTTCATTTTTTACTGAAACACAACCATTTTCGTTAACCTTTTTCGTAAACTTTGCATGTTACATTTTTCCTTTTAATGCGTTTTCTGGCGTTTTACGTTTTAACAAATACACCTGACTTTTCGTAAAATTCAAAATGAACCGTCGAAGCTACAGCACCAGGGTTACGTACACTTCTTTAGAACATGAATGGTTACGGTCACTACTTTAAGTGAGGTGATCGAAACCGTAAGTCACCCTACACAGTGCTTAAGCATACTTTTATTTTCATTTTACCTATTTTTTTGTTATCCTGTAATAAATCTACTGAATGAGAGCGACCTATGGGTTGGATCGTCTCACCCAAGATAGTGACTGAAACCATTCATATTCTGAAAAAGTGTACGCGACGCTGGTGCTGTAGCATCAAAGGCTCGCTTAAAAATTTACATCTTGCAAAAACGTAAAAGACCAGAAAATGCAAAAGAGAAAATTTAACACACAAAGTTTACGATAAAGGTATCTTAATAAATAGTGAACATTTTGGAATTTTAAAAAATACTGTGAAACGAAGAGAATTTTGATTTTGATCAAATTTTAATTTTAAGGTGTATATATCCCCTCAAACTACATGCCATATAAGGCGAGGAGGAGGTCGCTAAAAAACGTTAATTTATTAATATTTAACAATAAGACGGCATTAGTAGCATTAATAACTAAGTCCATTGAATAAAATGAAACCACATAAAAGTAAATTGAGTCATTCCATGACTTACAAGGAGAGCTTTTCAGTTCCCGGTCATGGATTTGCTCGGATCGTTGCATTTTTTCGTTTAAGTACTTCTAAATCGATATAGAAAATAACAAAGATTTTTTATAATGTGGAAAATCCTCTAAAAAATGGGCTCTAAGGCCCATTGGATCAAACTAAGCACAGGGAGCTTCAGTATTGGGTACCCAGGAGACCGCAAAAAAATTTTGGAGCAAATCCATGTACCGGACCTGAAAAGCTCTCCTTGTTAGTATGATGTAGGCGAGGTAGAGATTGCCTAAGAAGGGTTGACCGACCACGAGAGCTAAATCGATGAAAAACATGATTCCTTATGTATTTTTGGTTGCTGCATCTGAATAACATTTATTTTTTCCTAAAATGGCTATACGATGAAACACTGTCTGTTTTTTACTTAATTCGTGTATAAAACTTACCTGTGCCTCTTTAAATCACCTGCAATAGAATACAGTTTATACAGAAAAATAATTGAAAAATTTTCATATGAAGACGACATTCTAGTTAATGAATTCTTTATTTAAACTGTAAAAGGAACTCTTTGCACTGAGATAAATAACATTTCTAATATAAATAATTTTATTCAAATTGAACAAAACAGACCAGTTGCTATAAATCGTTATATAACTGCGTAATTAAAATGATACCAAAGATACGAGCGGTACGCAAAGTGTGATGCAATATTATTATTTATGTATACAAATTCCAAACTTTGTGGGTAAATGCTAGCCATCGATAATATGTATAAGAAAATAATAATGTGTCAGTGTATCAATTACAGACTTTCACGCACTTGTAATAGTAAGTACGTTTGTCATACAACGCGATTGATTATAAATGATGATAAAAGCGCAATTTGGGACGGAAAAAATTTTAGCGATTTCAATCGGGACGATCGTCATCGTCACCATGAGCGCCGCCGGCGTTGGTGGAAGCAATAATAGTGGGGGAATATGCTATTATCAGAAGCGTGAAAAACCACGTTGCAAGCGATAAGGTATACTAACACAGCTCATTGCATGTAAATGACCGATCATATTGTTTTTAGTATAAATATCTGTCAACTCTGAAATAGAAATCATAACGAGTTCGGCATACAAACGAACAAAATGTTCTCTGCTGTGTCGGCACTACTCCTCGTGGCTACGGCCGCAAACGGTAAGTTATAACTCCATCAAAATCGAAGTTTTGAAAAATTAGAAGACACTTTCATAAGCGATTTTATTAATTTTTTCTTGTTTTTTTTTTAATTATTTCAGCTGCCTCTATCAAGCAAGTGGCAGTCCCACCCAACGGTCGTATTTACGGCGGTGAGGCGGTCGTCATTGAATCCTACCCGTACCAAGTTTCCATCGAGTACGGAGATAAGCACATGTGCGGAGGCTCAATCATCGACAAGGAATGGATCTTGACTGCTGGACACTGTGTCAACATGGCCGTCTTTATGATGTCAATTCGTGCTGGTACATCCTACGTAAACAGAGGTGGCACCGTCCATAACGTTGAAAAGATCATCCGCCACCCTGCCTTTAAAGTCGACTACAGAGGCGTCCCATTTAACGACATTGCCTTGATCAAGCTCCGCGACCCAATCGAGTACGACAACCAGCACGATAAGATTGACCTCTACGAGAAGTTCGAAAAGAGCAAAGTAGGTGTCAATGCAACCGTTAGTGGCTGGGGTGTTACCGAGAATGGTTTTAAAGACCAGCTCCGAGCCGTATCCGTCCCAATCATGGACACCGATGTGTGCCGATCGGCTTATGAAAGATTCGGGGGTCTGCCTGATAAGCAGATCTGCGCTGCCAATTACCTCGAATTTACTGGCAAGGACGCTGGCAAGGACGCTTGCCAGGGTGACTCCGGCGGCCCACTCGCCATCGCGTATCGTCTTGTCGGTATTGTCTCTTGGGGCAGAGGTTGCGCTGATCCTGAATACCCTGGTGCCTACACCGAGGTTGCTGCCTACCGCGACTGGATCGATGAGACTATGGCAAAGATGTAAATGATAAATCTTCATAGTTCTCATTATTCAGAATCTGTCCGTCAACGTGATTTTTGTACAAATATTTTAGGTATAATACTTTTTTATACGAAAATGTTCACCATGAATCAAAAAGCTTTTGGCTTTTTATATGTACTTAAGTAAATTAATTAAATGTAAATAACTTAACTGCAATTCTGATTTTTTAAATTTATTCGAAACCTCATACTCTAAATAACACTTTTAATCTATTAATTTTTGCAATATTATACTATACACCAATCATTAATTGAAAATGTTTGATATTAGTATATTTATCAACAAGTGCACATATGGTTTTTTAGCAAAAGGAGGGATTTTAGCACGAGCCAAAGGCGAGTACTGAAATGAGTTTTGTTAAAAAACCATATCTGCGCCACTTGATGATATTATTTTTTTCTGCGAGAGCCTAAAAATAGCGACAAAGTTGCGTATTTTTAGGTTAGAGTGGAAAAATAGTATATTTCTCAACGGGTGCACATATGGTTTTTTAGCAAAACGAGGGATTATAGCACGAGCCGAAGGCGAGTGCTGTAACGAGTTTTGTTAAAAAACCATATCTGCACCAGTTTGAGATACTATTTTTTCCTACGAGAGCCTAAAATTAGCGGCAAAGTTGCGTATTTTAGGTTAGAGTGGGAAAAAATTTTTTTACGTACCAGCGGCCCGAAAGTAGCATTTCCCGGCCGCTGCGCTGAACGGGATATTGCTATTTTCGGGCCCGGGGTACGTAAAATCGTATACTGGCCTATACCGGGAAAAAAGAAAGCCTCAGTGCACGTGCTAATCGACCTCGGCTTCGCCTCGGTCGCTTATTTCACGTGCCCTGGGACTTTTCTATTTTGCCCGGCCTAGGGCAGTAATATACTATTATCCGATTAACGATTAATTATAAGATAAAAATAGTAAAGCAAATACTCTAACTGGCAAAATAATACTCCAGAGCAGAAATTTAGTTTTTATTTTATTTTAATCTTTCAATGAAAATTGAGACTAATAAGTTATAATGCAGGAAATAATGATCGAAGTAAAATATTTGATATAATCGATGCTTGAATAACGAAACTTCAAGTGCAAGATTGAGTCATAGCACGGAGTAACTGAAGAAACATAATGGCTTATCGATTGAGAACGAAGAGTTCCTGCACGTGCTCACATGTAAAGAGGTGTAAACTCAATGTAATAAACAAACTTTAAAATAGCACGCTGATCGAATTTAAATAATTTATAAAAGAGATTTTGGAAAAAGAAGATTATTGAATTGAAAAGTCCTTAAGTATTATAATTTTTCATTGCAGGTCATTACATCTTAATGTAGTTTAGCTATCTAATGCCTTAATCTATTGCACTTGTTATTTATGCTATTTTCTCATCAGCTGATATAATTGTAACTTATTGTATTATTTTTAATTTCCTGTATCTCTGTATCTTCTGTATCTGTAAATCGGCTTCAGGGTCGTATCGGGTTGTACCCTTTGGTCCCAGTAATAAAACAATAAAATAATCGAATAATAAGTGACACTAGTAATTATGACTGTAGATTCTTTACTAACTCTAGACACAGTAGGCGAGCAAATTCTTCAATACTTCATTACTATTAATCGCACGACCTATCACACGTGTCGTTCTAATTTTATTTATTTCATAGAAAGATAAAAAAGATTTGACGGTGGTTGCGCATGAAAAGTGGACAGAACTGACTATACTCACAAGAAGGAAACATGATTTATCTTGCTCAATTCTCTTTTGAGAAGCTTTTTAAAAGTTTAAACGATAAGAGTGACATTATGTGTACATCGTCAACCGAAGTTTCTTTAATTCTGTTTAGCTGACACTCTTTGGGTAGAAAATGACGACAATCTACAATTATTTTGTACATAACACCTTTGTATAAAATTATTTAATAATACAAATATAGCTTATTTTAAACAATTTTAAATATTTTATTATATTTTATAGTTTAAAGTAATGTATTCAATACCAATTGGAAAATAATATATTTTTTGCAATTGTACTTGATTTTTGTAGAATATTTTGTATAATATTCATAAACTGGGGATAACTAACCAGCATTATTTTCCTTGTTTTATCACAAATTACAAATAATGGCAACACGTTACATTAAATCATTTAATCATTTTTGCATCATTGCAATAAAATACATGCATTTTTTTAAGGATGATTCAATGGGTTTTGCCTAACATTATCGGTGTGAACGACCATAGAAATTGCTATTCGAGAAAAGTAAATTTTTGATCGTAATTCGACTAACTCATTGTCAAACAAATAAATTATCGCATCGATAGATTTCTGAACGAGCAATTTTTGAGTCATTTTGACTGTATTTATTTTTTTCTAATTACCCTTGCGTCATTATTTGCGTTTTGCCAGAATTTTAAGCAAGATAATGCGTTTTAATCGCTTAGTTTGCACGACGGGTTAATAATTATTTGTTGCGCATATCAAGAATTTGGGTAATTTCGTGGAATATCAATGAGTTGTTGATGTTATTTGACATAGAGAGATCATGTTTCGATTAAATTCATCACTTGTCACAGTATGTCGATGATTTACTATATAAACTTAGCAACTTTGTTTTGACTGTTAATTTGTATCGAGTGCTAGATCACGCAGTAAAAACCATAAACATAGAAACGTGAAGAATTTTTTGTGCATAAATACAAGTTAGGTAGTTGCTAAATGGCCTCTATAAGACGATATACCCACAGATTTCAAAACTCAAGAACTACAAAGTAATGATAAAAACCTGCGATAACAATGAATGAGGCGTATACAAAATCAATGCGGAGCGTAAATGATGAATGTTTATTCGCGAATGTAATCATGGCTTAAAAATTTGAGATCTGTCGAAAAGGGATCTTTGAAGATATTCTCTATACATTCGTTTAAGTTTGTTGTTGAGCAAGAATTGTTCACTGTCGGTGAAAATAATAACGGTAGTTCATTAATTAGTATTGTTAGAGCCCCTATCATGCAGCTTTTAAAATTGTTTTTATAATTTTTATAATACGGTGTGAATAAAGCTCAAACGAGAGTGCATAAATCTAATACATTTATTAACATTTTTGTTTTGTTTATCAATACCAAACTTCGGTGTGTCCACATGCGTGCTACAAGATTCTTACCTAATAATCTTAATCGTGAGCCAATCAAATACAAGTACACGTGCAACAACTGAGATTTTACGTGCGTATGCATGTATCATGCATAAAGCAAATACAAGGTTGGCTATTGTACTCACTCGAACCATTTCGTGAGGTAATTGGATTGGCTTGAGGCCACAACTACAAGCCGAAAACTTGATAGCATTTGTCTTGCACCTGCCCAACCCCCCACGCTTTCCCACGCGTACACAACTTCTCTGACTCATGATCTCACTGGTGTTGTAAAACCTTTGGATTGCAACTCCAGTTAACTCTGAATGTATCACTTACGTGCATGCGGTGCATAAGGTCAAAAGAAATGAAATAATTACATCCGGAAACAAGTGGTATTATAGCAAGCTTGGTGTTGTAAGCGGCTTTTCTCTCAAGTGCAGATCATCTCGACTGTTTTTATGTAGAACTGCAAGCAAGACAAGCTCATATATTTTATCGAAAAACCCAAGTGGAGAAATTGGAGCTAACTCGAGCTTGCTACAGTGCTGCTAGCTTTGTCCAACAACAGGATATAAACTACTTTAATTTTCTCAGAACTATGCGACTTACTCTGTTTACGACCTCGCAAGCGCCCGTGTAGATAATAATTTTCGAATTATTCTAAAAAGTTTAAGGCATTTCCAGTTTGTTACCAGGAAATACTGTTAGTGCAACCTCGTGCTTATAGTTCTTTATTATCGCAACGGTAGTATGCACAATCGAGACAAGATAACCTTATTCTAATATATCATCAAAACATAAACATTGGTGGTGCACGCATCGATTCAAATGTAAATCGCCTCTGTTGTAATGTCAACACACGTTTGTATGGTGAATTAACTATGCACATAGTTTCAAGCGAATCTTGATATTGTAATAATAATTTTAATAAGTAACCATCGTCGCAAAGACTGGCTGGAAACTTCAATGGATTATAAACGTGTTCTAGCAACTAAAAATTTAGCCACGAAGTGGACTGATTGTCACGTGCGTATTATCAACCCTTCTCAAACTATATGGAAAAGATAAGTCCTTGCAGTAACCCTCCAAAATCGATAAGCAAAATATATTTGATAAGCGGCTCTATGAATCTTTCTATCTATTATATTGGGATTTATAGTGAGAAAATTGAAATTTTCACCTACAATTAAAGCTAGGTACAAAGCAACTACCAGTGCAACTTCAGTTTTGTTTCGATCGATAAATAGTAATTGAGACGCGTCTGAAGTTACAAGTTTCACATTTTTACCATGTATAAATCGTATTACGGCTCAATATCAACTTTATTAATTTATATAAAAGTCAAACATAGAAAATATTCGTATTTTAAATGTACGCTGCATCCTCTAAAAATTGAAGTATCCAAATTTTTCTTTAAGCTATAAAATATAATAAAAGTTCAAAAATTGATAAGCATTGATTGATGTAAGATATTTGATGAGTAGTCTAGATTAGCGATTACAATAAGTTGCATTGTCCTCGAGAATCAATTGCAGTATAGAAGTAAAAATTTCAACGACGAGTCACGCGAGAAGCATTTCAGTCTTGCCAGACAGAAAGATATCGGGCCGTCGGAACTGGACAATAACAAACGCTCCGCGACGAAGTTGTTTTTTATTTATTTATAAAGATATTCAAAAAGTCCGACGAAAATATGTATCGCAGACGTGAAAAATTCCAGCACCATTGCGTAATATACCCGAATAAAAAATCCTAATCGTGTGATAAACCACCTGATTGGTTTATTATTTTTTACCCTACATTCGTTGTACACAACACAAACGATTGGTCTACGTTTTTTATATCTAGAAAGCATTTCTATGAAGACATTTAATTAAATCGATATTCTCCTCTACGACGCAGTTTGGAATTACGATCAAAGACTTTAGCGATGAGATAAGATAAAGCTTTTGCGCGCGAAAGATTTTAATCGAAACGTGCGATCGCTGCGTCACTACGCGTGTCCGGTTTAGATTTGTATCATAATAAAAGTGATGGCTTTAAAACTTTTACCTAACACCTTATAGTTTATGACTATTGCATTGATATTTAACAGCTCTTCTGTCTTTTTGCGCTGGTTAATCTAAAAATTGTTTCGCAAAAAATTATTTCAAGTGATAGTCCAATAAAAATATGACATTGACACATAACTTTTATGATATTTTTTCTGATTAGTTTTGATATTGAATGATTAAATAATAAATTCAGATTTAACAGGTCAATTCCAGAACATGATGTTCAAATAATATTTGATCAAAATTCAACTTGAAAATGGTCAAAATTCAAGTTGAAAATGGTCAAGATTCTCACTTAACATTAAAAATATAAATTTTCTTTTGGCAAAATAAAAATAACACTTTACTAGTTATTTAAATTTGCACTATAAAAATTCTTCAAACTTTGCAAAAATAATAAATAGGATAGCCACATAATAACGGCTCCATTGAAATTTATCCAATACAAACATTTAACAGTACCTGTCATTAATGATGCCTAGCTCAAAAAACATCTGCAGGTTTTATCCGCATTAGAACAAGTCACCTGTAACAAAACATGAGACTCAGTCAATTTTATTTTAATATACAAAAGAAAACAAGTTTTTAACTATAATTTCAAACGACCCGAGTGAATGTAATAAAAAAAATTTCAAAGCATTTATTCAGTTATTATTCAGTTAAAACGTAGCTCCCAACGACACAAGCAAATAGTCTCGTAATCTTATTCGAGCAGCGACCAGAATACCGCATCTGCGAGCTATGGTAATCTGCGCCAACTCTCGCGACCAGTCACGCATACGAGCGTCGCTCCGCGCCTAGCAGAAGGAGAGCCGGGGGTATGGGATAGACGTTCGCAGATTACACTCGTAAATCGTTCGGGGGTACGGGAGGCTCGCGTTAATCGCGATAATGTGCGTTATATCTGGCGCTAGCAGCGCTACTGCAGCTGTTGCCGTTGCTGCCGAGTAGTCACTCAACTATGCCGGGGGTGGGATTGCCGGTGACGAGCTGCGAGCAGATATGGAAAAGATCGTTATAATTTGTCGACGTCGACGATCGGGAAACGCTTGGGCAACATCGCGCACTCGTGTCTATCAAAGGATCGATCGCGATGCCGAAAGGTCGCTGTACCCTCGCACGCCACCTAACGCAATCCTCGAGACGCGCGCGCGCGCCCGATGATGAAACGCTGCAATATTTGCACACTCGCTGTGGTATACGCGCGGCGAATCGATACACATTGCCTCGGCGCGAACGTCGATGCGCTTTACGATGCAATTTGCAAGCTTTAATCGCCCACGTGATGATTAACTTTGACAAGTTTGTGATCGATCTGCGCCTCGCAGCGGCTTATAGGCGATACTTCGATCTATAGATACTTGTCGGTGTGCGACGGTACAAATTTTTCTGCGTAGTTGAAGATATAGAGCCGACGTACGCGGTTCGAATTCATCTCGATCCCGTTATAAAACGCAAGTACCGACCTCGGCAATGGATCATTGTTAGTTGGGATCGAAGCCGCGAATCATGTTTCAACTAATCGTGCTGGTCGCCGTCGCAGCAGCAGCAGCAGTCCAAGGTACGTACGCAAACTTTTCCGTCTCTCCGACTCTTTGAAGCAATCCGTTTGAATTTGCCGAACTCCGTTCTGTAAAGGATTACCCGCTGGCAGCCACAGCAGTCACATCAACCCGTTCGCGCCGCAAGGCCGAATAGTCGGCGGCCAGGAAACCAGTATCGAGCGATTCCCCTGGCAAGTGTCGCTGCAGGTGCGCGGCTATCACTCGTGCGGAGGCAGCATAATCAGCGCCAATTACATCCTGACGGCGGGTCACTGCGCCAGCGGTCAGTCGGCGTCGAGCCTCAGGATTCGCGTCGGTAGCTCGAATAGGTCCAGCGGGGGTGTCCTTCACGAGGTCGCCAAGATCACGGTTCACAAGAAGTATACGACCAACCGGTACGGGGTGCCGACCAACGACGTGGCCGTGCTCAAGCTCAAGAAGCCGATCGAGCTGAACGAGAAGGCCCAACCGATCGGCTTGTTCGATCCTCTCGAGGAGTCTCGAGCGGGATTCCTGTCCACGATCTCCGGCTGGGGAGCGGTTTACGAGGGAGGCTTCTCGTCCGAAATCCTCGTCACCGTCGACGTGCCCATCGTCAGCAAAGAGGACTGCGACGAAGCTTACTCGAGTTACGGAGGCGTTCCCCCCGGCCAGATCTGCGCGGCTTACCCAGCCGGAGGGAAGGACGCTTGCCAAGGTGACTCCGGTGGTCCCATGATCATCGGCGAGCGTCAAGCCGGTATCGTTTCTTGGGGCAATGGCTGCGCCAGGGAAGGTTATCCCGGCGTCTACACCGAAGTAGCCACCTTCAGGGAATGGATAAAAGATCACACCGATGTTTAATTTATATAGTCACGATTTAATAGCAACTTTGCGTGTGCATTGTCAGGCTCGATAGTAGCCATTTCGGCTACAGGTGTAACTATCTCTTCTCAAATTGTAATCTCTGATCAATCAGAAGCCGTTATAAAATCCGTCATCATTTTTTTATAAGTAAATAGAAACCACTCAACGCATACATTGTTGACATTTCATTTATTTCATATCAATTCAATAACATTTACGAATTTTACTCTTACTTAAAAACTATCAAAGAAAATATATAAATTAATTGTCCACCTAATGACAATTGATGACGATATTTTTCGATATATTATTTTTATATTATTGTGCTCAGTATTTAAACTTATATCAATACATTTTTAATATCAGAGGGATCCGTAAACTTAAAATTTTTGAAGTAGCCAATACATAAAAAAATCGTATGAATAGATCCAATATAAATGGATAGCTAGATCAACAAATGATTTTTGCAAAATATAACAGTAACATTTTTTATTCTATAATAACTGTTCTGTAATTTTTGATTTTATAAAAGTAATGAAGTTTTTAGTAAAAGCACTTTATAAACGCTGCGATTGGTCCTTCAACAGCTTGCCACTGGAGTTTTAGTGGCACGCAATTACGAGTGTGAAGTAAATAGAAATTAACTCATATTTTTTCATCAAACACGAAAATGTACAAAATAAAAAAGAATGTACCCGAATTCATTCCTGTTGTATAGGTGAAAAAAAACTATTCAAAATCAATAAAAATAATTAAACAGATTACTCTTGAAGAGTACATTGAAAAATAAAAATTCTAAAAATTTCAGCCCTCTAGGTCCATCCCTCATGGATCTACAGAATCTCAAAGTTGAAATTTGATTTTTCAAATTTTATTTTGATTTCCTAGGGCGAATATGAAAAAATTGTTGAAATATTATTTTTGATGTAAAATTTAATGAGGAATTCAGATTTGTTGTCAAAAATCATATTCTATCAGCTTTTGTCCTATTGAAAAGTAAAAATAACATAAAAGTCAAAAAAATAAATATACATCGATGGCTATGGTGTCGGTATAGCTGTCGATTTATGAAGATTTATAAGGGTCAAAATAATACTTTTTTACAAAACCGTGCGCACGTATGTCACCGATCTTGACGCGCTTTTGGTATGTTATAGTACATGGTAAAAAAGTCCCAAAAACAAAATTTTAGACCCCCTCCCCCCTCCTACCCCCCACTTCCGGTATATACGTCCATTTTCGATCTATATTTTTTCTGAAGACATGAAGCAATTAAAAAATCTGAAAAAATTCACAAAAATATTTTTTAACAATCCAAACCACCTTGAATTTTTTCAGATTTTTTAAGTGCTTCAGGCCTTCAGAAAAAATCATTGAAAATTCTGAAAATCGAAATACGGCGGTATGAGCCGATATAGTAAACGGAAATTTTTTCAGTTTTTTATTGCACTGAAAAACATAACCTAAATTTTTTTCAGATTTTTTCAGATGACCTAACGCACTTTTTGAAGCAAAAAACCGCTTTTTTTGACGAAAATAATTTTTTTAGGACGACACGGAGTCTCGAAAAATCTGGAAAAAATTTTTTCTTGTCTTTTTCATTAAAATACATAACCTCAAATTTTTTCAGATTTTTTAATTGAAGGCGATAGTTTCTAGGGCCGAAAAAAGCTATTTTTAACAAAAAAAGGTTCCTGGAACCCGAAGGTTGCGGTAAAAAAATTTGAAAAAAATTTTTTTGAATTCCTTGTCAAATTTTAATAAATTTTGACCGTTTCCAAAGTTCGATTGAAGCCTCCTAGCTCAATCTAGAGCAGGACAAAGACTAATGCAAAATTCTGAAGACGTTTCCGAAGACATATTAAGAAATGATGAAACTATTTTGATGCACTTGAAGTAGTGGTGCACTTGAAGTAGTGGTTCGAAAATTCCATAAAAATTCTCTGAGATACTTTGATAGTCGTGATCACCCTTGATCATATTTATATCGTGATTCCCTAACGGTAACATGGTGAAAAAAATCAAAAATTTGATTTTTTGCAAAAAATTTTACGATTTTTTTCGTATAAGCAGCCATAACTTTTTTATTACGCAAAGAATCGAAATTTTGAGCTCAGTTTTTGAAAGGACATTAAATTTTACATCGAAATAGGTCCATACGAAACTTTTTGGAGGCCTCAAATTACAAAAAAAATCGCTGCGAAAACCAACAAAAAAATCGAGCATTTTGGTCGTTAATGGATTAAAACGTATGTCGAATTTTCACGCATGTAGTCACCGAATTAATTCAAAAACAAAAATATAAAATGTAAGAAGTCTAAACTTGTTCCTGATCATATAGTACACACTTTTTTTACTAAGTATACTCAAAATGATATTAAACAGCGTTTTTCATGGCATTTGTTTATATTTATAGAGCATACCCTTTCTTCTCATGTCCTTTGTTAATGAAATTATCTTTCGAGTGGAGTATTACAATTTTTTTTTAAATATTTATGCAAATAGGCCCGCGATAATGTTTAGACTTGGACAATACAATTTTCATAAAAACATGTATTGCCTATTGAGAATAGTACAATTCTTTTAAATTGTAGTTATCAGATGACATTAAAGTAATATAAAACTTTGTATTTATACTTTTTTCTGAATCCCGATTATAGTTTTAATGAAACTTTGTTTGCATCTAACTTTTTTTTCATTCTTTTAAATAAGTATACTATGAATTAAAAACGTTTATATTTTCTGTAATTTTCTGTAATAAATATAACTGGAATATGTAAGTAATAGTTGGTCATTGTAAATCACTTTTCAATTGAGTTAGAACCTGGCTATTTCTATAAAACTATTTATTTTATCTTGAGAGGTTCAATCTGATTCACTATTCCATATATCATAAAAATTTATGGACCTGTCATATTTAGAACATTTAGGAATTAATAAATATTTTTTGAGCATGCATCAATGGCCGCAAGCAAAAATAATGACGGAAATAGTAAACCGAAAAAAGTCTGTTTGCACTTCCGACGGATGGGGTAACTCTGATCGAGTAATTTGAAAGATAATTTAATCAACGAGTGTAAGCACGCGTAAACGTGTGTAATCAAGATACGTATACCTCGTTTCGTTTTATGAGGAAAATGTATGGCTGGATTGCAATTACAAATCCTTATCTATCGTTACTAGATTTCATAGTCTTTCTACGCTTCGCTCATTAAAATAATACGCATACTTCCAGCAAGTTGTACTTATGAGCGATTACTTTATCGGCAATCGAGAAACTCGTTTAATTCAATGGACAATAATTACTGGGGCACGCGCTGTCGCATCGCTAAATAATTCGCCTCGATTCCATTTGTTCAATAAACTAAAGATAGCCGGCCACGTGTCGGCTCAGTGTTTACTAACATTCGCTCGCGATCGTCGAACGAGCTTGCGATTTTTTTCGAAACGACTTTTTTCTAATACAATGACACTGTTCTCTTCTTTGTACGCCGCGATCGGCAAAAAATGAATCATGTATCGAGCCAGGTATCGTATATAAATTCAAATGCGCTTCTAGTAAGTAGGTATTGAGTTTACGATTACACAGTGCGCACAATGTTTGAACTGATTATTTTATTTCTCGTAGCTACTGCAACCGATGGCAAGTATTACGTTGTTTTTCATTTCAATACATCTTAAAAAGTATACTAGTCGATTCATCGAAATACCCAGAAGACTAATAAAAGCCACGACGAAACGATCGATTCGCAGGTCACCCGTCGTCCGTCAGTCGAAATGAAACTTTGATTCGCACGACTGGCCACCACGGTCGTATCGTAGGCGGCGAAGAGGCCTCGATTGAGAATCATCCCTGGCTCGTTTCTCTGCAAGCTCTGGGCTTTCACGTTTGCGGTGGCAGCATCATATCCGAAACGCTCGTGCTGACTGCCGCTCACTGCACCAAGTACTCGGTCAAATGGCTGAGCGTGAGGACGGCCAGCTCGACAAAACAGGCCGGAGGAGTGGTGCATCGGGTCGACGAGATTCTGCGGCACGAGCTTTACGCCACCAACTCTTTTGGCATCCCCGTGAATGACCTGGCCATTTTGCGGCTGAGAACGTCCATCGATTTCGACGCGGGCAGTCGACCGATCTCTCTGTTCGACTACGCCGAGGACGTGGCCGAGGGCAGCCTCTTGACGATCACCGGCTGGGGCTCGTTGGGCGAGGGAGGCCCGGCGACCGAAACCCTGAGAAGCGTCCAAGTTCCCGTCGTGTCGAAAGCTCGCTGCGGCGAGACTTACGAGATGTGGGGAGGCTTGCCCGAGGGCCAGATCTGCGCGGCTTACGCCGAAGGTGGAAAAGACACGTGTCAGGGTGACTCAGGCGGTCCATTGGTGCTCGATGGACGACAAGCTGGGATCGTTTCGTGGGGAAACGGCTGCGCCAAAAAAGGATATCCCGGGGTCTACACGGAGATAGCCTACTTTCGCAATTGGATAAGCGAGAAAACTGGAATTTAATCACGAAATAATTGTCACACATAATCTGATTGCGACATTCTTACACATTTTTACTTTGTATTTCTAATTCATAATTCGGAATGAAAATTCGATACGAGAAATTCAGCGTTGCTAATTTGGTTAACTCGCACAGATGCACTTGCACAGCCTTGCGTGACCCTCCTTAGCCAGAGGCACTCAAACGATCATAATGTGTCTACATTACGTAAGTTAACAGCGGCTATTTTGATTTCTCCTGTCGTTGCACATGCAGCCACAGGTACATTATACGAGAGAAGAGTCAAGTGGGTGTACGCATCGCCGCACTCGTTCGAACAAGCCGCTCACCGACTCTGCGCTTTTTGTACGATATCGTTGGTATTTTTACTTTTTGTAATAAAAAACATATCACTGAAAACACAATCACTTTTCGTTGTTATTTTTTCGCAACTTTATTTCTCATATTCGTCCACATTTGTACAATTTAAATTGAGCTATATAATTAACATAAGATGTAATATTTAAACTTTGGCGTGTTTGCTGATCCAATCGCGGTACGACGCCACCTCGGTGTAGACTCCGGGGTAGCCTTTCCTGGCGCAGCCATTGCCCCAAGAAACGACACCGGCTTGGCGGCCATTGATCACAAGTGGGCCACCAGAGTCTCCCTGGCAGGTGTCTTTTCCTCCGGCTGGGTAAGCCGCGCAGATCTGGCCTCTGGGTACTCCGCCCCACATGATGTAAGCGGCGCTGCAGGTGTCCTTGTCGATGATCGGCACGTCGACCGTCTGGAGCACGGCCGGGGTTTTGCCGCCCTCGGTCAGGGTGCCCCAGCCGGAGATGGTGGCCGGCGTGCCCTCGACGGCCTCCTCGGACTTGTTGAACAGCGGCACCGAGCGGGCGATCTTGGTCAGGTCGACCGGGGTCTTGAGCTTCAGCAGGGCTATGTCGTTCTTGGGGATGCCGAAGAGATTGATCCTGAAGGCCTCGTGGCGAATGATCTCGGCGACCTGGTGCAGAGAGCCACCGGAGGCGGTCCTCGAGCTGCCGACTCGGACGTTGGTCGAGCTGGCCGGGTAGCTCTGGGTGCAGTGAGCGGCCGTCAGGACGATGTTATTGGAGATGAGACTGCCACCGCAAAAGTGGAAGCCGCGGGACTGGATCGACACCTGCCACGGGTGCTCCTCGATCGTCGTCTCCTTGCCACCGACGATTCGACCCTGGGGCGTGAAAGGGTTGATCATCGATTCGCGTACGAGATCGCCTGCAAAGTGATAGAAAACGAAAATTAACAAAAAAAAAGGACGATCGATTTAAGGGCCTCTAATATATAAGAGCGATTTAAAAATAGCCTGGAGTATGCAGTGAAGTAGTTGGCACTTACCGGCGACTGTGGCGGCGAGGAGGAGAGCGACGACAGCGATCGAATACATCGTGAGTCGGTTGTTGTTCTTCTGCACTGTGCACTGAAAGAGCTGATGCAAAACTCGCCGACAGGCAGAAATTTATATAGTCTAACGGCAGGAGTTGGGGCGTGTGGAAAAGATCAGACGTGGGGGGATATAAGTCATCGTCAGACGGTGAGAATCCTTCGATCGACGTGCACGCGACATACACGCGACGCATGCACACACACACCCACACACACACACACGAAGGCGTTCGTAAGTTTTATCAGCTTCGAGCTATTTTAATGGCCGATATCGAGTGAGTATAATAGTGCAAAAAAGTGTGTATTAGTGCATCACTACTGCAGGTGCCGCGCCGAGGACAGCCCTGAGTTTTAATATCAGCAGTGCCATATTCTCGCGCGGCTGCGGCGTCGATCGTTCGACGATTTGAATGTCGAGGATATGCGGCGCGCGCGTGCGAGATCGATTTGCCCTCTGTCCCCGCGAGCGAAGCCTCGTGTATACGTACACAAGCTACGGGCAATAATTCAAAATCTCGATGCCAAAAACTTTTCGCAAGTTTCTCATTGACTGGGGATTGACTCTATATACGTATTATGCAGGTGCTCCATTCGAGCAGAAACTTTAACTTTCTTCCGCGTCGTTGCACCGCAGCTCTTTAATTTAATTTAATTTCTTTTTACTTCGGCGATTGTTTGATCAAGTTTTACCGATTTTTACCGAAAACATGCAACGAATAATAATAAAAATAATAATAACGCGCGGGTGAGATAACCTTTTTGATAAATACAAAGTATCGATCAAAATCTACGATTAAATCATTCATCTTTTGGCTGAAACATTTTATCTGAGAGAGATTGCAATTATTTGCTTTTCGGTAGCCAATGCAGTCGAGCTTAACGCACATCGTCGTTCGTCGTACCCAAGGCCGTTATATAGTATCGTGACGCGTGGGATCGCATTCATTCATAATGTTTTACGGACCTACGAGAATAAAAACGCTGCTTCGTTGTATTAGTCACTGACGAGAAAAAAAAATTCCAAAAATCACCTCGGCTGCACAGCTTGCGACTGCGACGAAAACGTTACGAAAATTATTCGGGTCACGAAATCCCTATGTACTCGTACATTTATGACTGCATTTATGCAACGTTTATAATACGTCACTTGCCTGCTGTGTAAGAGCAGAGAAAGTAGCCGCACTCGCAAAACTGCTATTGGTTCTAATACGAAATGAAAGTTGCATACGTGTACGTGTGTGTGTGAGGGTGAACGTATGAACATATATATTTGCGGCTTGCGTGACACACGACCCCGACATTGAGTCTGCACAATATACAACATATAATATGGTAAATATTTATAAAGCGAGAAGGCGCCACTACGCCACTTAATGGGTTTCGCGTAATAAAATCACCTTACGTTATGGGTGTTTTGTGCACGTGTGTGCGTGCGTGCTTACAACGGCGCGTAAAAGTCGGCTAATGCTTGCAAGTATTCGTGCTTCGGAGACGGATTTACGATCTTATTTTCAAACTCCTGGGAAAAAAGAGAGAGAGTAAAGATGGGCGATATGTAACAAGTTGTAAAAATAGACAAGCTCCACGCGATTATTAGAGAGAGAGAGAGAGCGAACTTTTACATAGATATATTATAAATAGCGAGATGCTACGTGCCGTAATAAATCGATAGATAGATTTACCTGCGAGCTCGACGTCGTATACTCATGTGCATTGTGCATCCACTGTAATAAAGCACGACAGAAGCTTGCGCGTGTGCAGCCCCCGATGCACGCAACTTTTTTTCTTCGTTCGCTCTCTCTCTCTCTCTCTCTCTCTCTGTTTCTCGTGCCTCTTGCTCCCCTATATTTTTCGTGGCGCGGCGAAGTTTGCGCGCGCCCCCCGCGCGTTCAAGGTTGAGTCGCGCGCGCGCGCGAGCTTTGAGCTTCAACGCCGTGTTGTTATTATATTGTCATGATTATTATTATTATTGCGGTAATGTGTTTCGAATTTTTCGAAGCGAGAAATTACGTAACGCCAACAGCCCTCGGGTGTTAATTCGATGTGACATACATTTTACGGGGAAAAAACTCGCGCGCTGCCTTTTTCGCGAGCGAACATGTGATCGAAAATTGCGTGCCTGATAAAAAAGGTACACGCCAGTCATCTGGTGGCCGAGATTACGTTCAAGTTCATTTGTAATACGATATTTATTCTTACGTGCACGTACGTATATAGCCAACTGCAGCTTGCTTATCGTGAGCAAAGCTACGCGCGCACACGTACATGCACACGCCCAAACACGCACGCACACACGTGCGCGCAAGGGCTATAAACATCAAACGATTTCTAGTTTTTCGTTATTTTACTGTCAAATCAATTCATGAGGCTTTACGAGCTCGCTCGCAAGCTTATCGCCCCAGTTCATTGAAGATGTTTTTCATTTTTCAAAGTCAATGCCTCGCGCCGACCCTGACACAATTACCGGCAGAAAATTTTCTACCTTGGGCCCGCTGCTGATCGTAACCGCGCGTTGTATACGTTGCTTCGATTCGACACTATTGAGGCATCGCATTTTCCGCACGTGTTTGTGTGAAACCAGTCACGCGTGTGTATGCAAAACATCTAAAGAGAGAGAGAGAGAGACGCGAAAAGCCCATTTGCGTTGATCATTTTGCGACCGGCATGATGATGAATCAGCCCGAAAGGTCGAGCGAGTTTTGACGGTTATCGTTAAAAAGCGTCGTCGTATTTTATCTAATTGTAAAAGCTCAACGCGCATCAATTATGGACGCGTCGTCGTTTATTTTTTTCTTTATACGCGAGCATAAATCTATAATTAATCCTGCGCCAATCAATGCGCGCCACCGACAATGGCAGACGAGCATGCGAGAAGCGGTGAAAAAAAAAATAGAAGAAAACGTTTCTTTCCAGGTAGCGCAATTTTACGTGTGTGTGTGTGTGTATTCGCTTTGGTGTACAGCGAGCATAAGTAGATCAAGGTTAGAGGTGGAAAAAAAAGAAACTATAAATCGACAGCTATCGCGAGCATAGATACACTCAATGATTCGCAATACTCCGAGCGCGCGCGCCTTTGATCCCCTTTTAAAGATATTGTATTCGTGGGGCTCTTACTCGGGCTTATCGGTACAGATAGTTTCGGGATATATAGCGAAGGGAAATAATATCTATCGAAGCCTCGCGTAAACATAATACCATACGCGGCTTTTAGGAAGCCAATTCACCCATCGGTCCGGCAGCGAGCCTACTACTGCCGACTAGCCAGCCACACGATATAGCTGCCGAATCAATCCAATTAGAGGTACGAGCGTATACATACGCAACATTTTTATGGCGAGTATCGAACGATTTCCGCATGATTGATTCATTTATGATTTATTAGCCGAGTGGACAGCCGCTATACTATTGTTAAACCCTATTTAGAATATGAATGGCCATTTCAATCTAATACATTTCAGCGATTCACTATAGTCCTTGGACCTGTGATATTCAACCAGTACAGCGAACGGCACTTTAGAGCTTGGAAAATTTAGTTATCAAAGAAGGAAAATTTGTTGGTAAAAGTCGAAACATTGCCTTTCGCAAAATCTGTTCAGGCCAAGATATCACCCGTTGGACAGTCGTCGAATGGAACGTGCAGCAACGAGCGTCACAATTCTCTCGGGAAATCGATGTCACATTATGAGAAAAAGAAGAAGTTTCGGTGTCCCGGCGATGCTTTCGCGAAAATCATCATAAGCAATGCTATACACACACGCACGCACACCTAGACAGACATTTGTATACAAATTCAGGTCAAACTTGGTGATAACGACGCGTCGCGTACAAAGTCGTGTGTGTGTGTGTGTGTGTGTGCGAATAGTTTTTACGCTTGAAGTCTATCCCGCGGTGACGCAATTTATTCAACTCTTTCTCTCTGTCAGCCAAGATAACGTTTTGCTTTGTTTCTCTTTTATAGCTACTGCAACGCGCGTGGCGAGCGAGCGCGCGCGCACACGAGCACCGCAAATGCATTTTCCGTGTGATTAATGTTTTCCTCTTTTACTCATCTGCCCCCTCTCTCTCTTTTTACGCTATTTTCTCTCTCTCTCTCTCTCTCTCTCTCTCTCTCTCTCCTTTTTTTTTAATCTCGATCAAACACCCCATGCCACACATCGACTTTCATACTTTCAACTTTATTCGCTATTCCAGTGGAAAAATATATGATGCATTGCGCAATGATCCATCATTCGCGCTTATATTCTTTTAACGCAGCGCACACGAGCGACGGACCGAAAGTTTTGGCATTGAAATTTTAGGAGTCATACGATTTCCGTTTTGGCAAGACGTTATTTCAGATATAAATTATTTTTCGAGCCGCGTGCGCGCGCGCGACAAAAAAGTAAGCATGACTCTCTAATATTACGTCGTATTAGCGATTCCGTTGCGTAATTTTTATATATGAACGAGCGAAATTTGCTTTTATCGCGGCTCCGCAATGACCCAGTAAGAATTGCAAAGAAACATATATATCAAAGAAGAAAGTGCACGTGCGCGCAACGATGTTGTACGCGCGCAGCCATGCAACTTTTTAATGCAAAAATATCAACGAAAAGTCGAAGAAAGCTCCCGTAAGTCAAATGAGCGAAAGTGAGTGTATACAACAATCAGGGTAAATAAAGCCCGAGTCGCTCAAAACAAGCTTCTGCTCCCTCGCTCGCTCAAAGACGAAGAATGGCACAGCTATAAGGATGAAAAAAATGAGAGAAAGAAAGAAAAAAAGGGAGTGAGGTGCTTTGTCAGCTTTTGCCTATCCTGTGCTATCCTTCAAAGGAGCAACGAATATAAACATAAAAGGTTTCTCCTTCTTTACCTTTTCTCTACCTTGCGCTCTCTCTCCCTCTTTCTCTCCTTATTCATCGAGTATATAATACATTTTCTGACGGATTTCTATGCAAACGTAATGTTGGTTCTTTAAGAAAACGGAGAGGCCACTTTGAACACGTTTTTCTCACAAAGCTTATAAACGGATTAAGTTCAACTGACTTACATACTCCTTACAACTATATTAAAACGCCCGCGTAAACCTCTTTTTAAATCAAATTAAACTTACAAATGAAAGATTTGCAAAACAACAGATGATACTACAGAAAATTGAATTTATGCAATTTTATGTAACTTTTTGGAAAAAATCATTAAAGGATCAACACTTTCATGGTATTGAATGAAGAAATCTTGTCGTTCATCCCCTGGATAAGAGGATCTCCTCTAGGAAAACGAGGTTTGCAGCTACACGAGCCAAGGGTGAAAACTGTAATGGAATTCACTAAAAAAAAGTATTTCTGAAAAAAAAAACACCCTAAATACGAAAAATTAGAAGTAGCGTCAAAGCCTCATTCAAAGATCCAATTTACGTTGACAAGATTCATTTTATTTAAGTATCTTTTTATATCATTTGACCTATTCGAGCTTTTCTGATTATATTAAGGGGTTTTGAAGAAGCAGACTAAAAGTGATAATCAAAAGAATAAATTGAAAAGGTAACCATTTAAGTATTTGTATAAAATCATCATGTATAAAAGGTGACAAAAAGCATAGTCACAAAAATATGAACAGTTTCTTGTTCTTCTGCAATATTGATGGATATTTATGCAAAAAAAATTATATAAGATTTCGTACCATACTTATGTGATTGTGAAGTCTTCATTGCATCCCAAAGTCTTCAGACAATCTTATGATTCTAAGTTTTGCTTTGATTATGAACCTTCATTATGCGCCTTTTGAAATTATTCTGGTATACAAATGATGTATATGTCATATTCATAGAATTTGTTTCAGCCATATATTGCATTTATGTGAGATTTGAGGGTAAATTTTTGTCCAAATAATTTTTGACAAACGTTACATTCTAAAGATTTTTAGGTTAAAATATGTACTGTATTTATGTAAATTTTGAGATCACATTTTTGTCCAAATGATTTTTGACAATTCTTATTCGAGGGTTTGATTCAAATATGTACTGTTATGTGCTTTTTGAGATCCTCCTGGTATCCGAATGACATGTGACAAATGTCGCACAGAAAAGGTTTGGTACAAATATGTACTGTCATTATATGTATTTTAAAATCATCCTGATGTTCAAATAATTTGTTACAAATTTCACATTTGAGGGGCTCGTTAAAAATATGTACTGCCATTATGTGCTTTCTGAGATCTCTGAATCCAAATGATTTGTGACAAATGTCACATTTAAAATGTTGACTAAGGTTATGTACTTCACTTATGTGATATTGCAAAATATTTTTGTGTCTGAACGATTCTTGACATAAATGACACTCAAAGAAATTGCTAAAAATATGTACTGCCATTACATGACTTTTGAGATCCTTATCGTGTCTAAATGATTTTTGACAAATTTCACACTTGAAAGTTTTACTCTGAATATGTACTTTATCTATGTAACTTTTAGAGTTTATTTTTTGGGCAATTTTTAATTGCTGGTTCAGTTGAAATTGAAAATTTGTATCATAATTGAATTGATTCCTTATCAAAATAATGAGCTCTTTATCAATCAAATCATTAGTCTTAATATGGTTATCTGTTTTCTTCGTAGATGGATATCTTCGATGTTCAGATTTGCTGGTGGTTGTGGATATAGACTTCAATCTGGGTTTAACATACTTGCTCTTGTAATGTATCAATAATCTTTCATCTAATTTTTCGAGTAACACTATGGCCTGTCGCATGTGATTTGCCTGTAATAATAATTGTGTCATAGTTTTTTGTAGTAGAAAAAGAGAAAATATTTAAATCTTTAATCTCACTGATGATTTACAGAACGGGAACGTTTTGAAGTTTTTGGCTCTACCGGAGTCCACTGAATCAAAAACATAATTTTTGCCTGCATCTGGCCACATATTGTTTGGTGCGAATTTCACCCTGCAGAATAATCAAGCTTGTTAAGGCGATCTTTTCTAAAATATATCATGGCATGCGCAAAAATTGTTATACCTATTCTTTCTAGTCTCCATCATTAGCTGTGATAACTGAAACTTTGTAGGACATTCATTAACAAAATATTTGAGGTTAGATACCTCGAGCAGTCGATATTCTTGTACGGATATTTATTTGTCAACATTAATTCATCGAGAAACTCAACTCTTGGTACTTTGTAGGTTACTATATGGTAGGTTTTTTTTGGTTCTACATAACATTATATGTGTTATTGTGATAACTCCTCGGTTCTCTTCTCTCCCTCTACCGTCGACTGGACACTCGCAGAAATGCACTCGAATGTCGTTACAAAACTAGTTCGAACTTGTATTGAAAATTTTATTCGTATCTTACCTAACGAGTCAAATATCTATACGGCAATTGCATCGATAATTTATCGAAATAAATGATTTACACAAATTACATTTGTGAAGTATTAAAGTCAATAATCACATTTTGAGGGGGAAGCTCGTTGCCGATGTATTGGTAACGGTTTTTTTTTGCATTACCCGGCGAAACTGAATTAATCGACTAATTGGAAAACGTGCACGAGTTCGTGTACTAGTTTGTTTCGCCGAAAAATGTTTCAAGTCTAACAAGCTCGCCCTGCGTAGCCGAAGAAAACTTTACACTTGGTCGATTACAAATAGCCCCTATACTCGATCCTAACGGCTAAACGGCTCTCGCCTCTTAGCATGAGGGAGAGAGAGAGAGAATCTCGCACGAGAGTAACGAGGTTTATTTTTCTAGTTCAAGCCGGGGCGAAGGATACGGAACTTTTTCTCTCTCTCTCTTTCTCGCGGAGCTCTTATCAGTCGTGTATACAAGCGCAGAGAAAGAGAGAGAGCGAACGAGTCGAGATTTATCGCGAGAGAGATCCCCCTTTAACGTTTTCATAAATACGAGATGTATACAAATGCTCGGCTGCAACTCTATAATAGATTGAAAATCAATGAAATACTCGTTAACGAGCTTATGGCCCGGCATAAAGAGCCCATGCTGCTTATTATAAATCAATACGAGCGAAAAAACGGTATAAACTTTATAATCTCGACGCAGCTCAGAGCTATAATATAATGGAATATTTGCGCCAGTCTCTCGAATCACGCGCCGGACTTAATTTCGAGCATTCGTCGGGTCCGTAACAAAAGTTCCGCGTGCAAATTCGATTCTTTGCGCCTTTTTTTTCACAAATACCGTACCTGACTGGTAATTTCACAATACTAGCCGAGCGCGTGAGAAAAAAAGCTCCGAAAAATCTTTATCGCTCGCGGGCTGTACTTTTTTGTTGTTGTCGCTGTTTAATAAAATTGCTCGATCTGTCGTGAATCTGACGTGGCAATTATCGACCGCACGAGAGATGAAACTGGTGTATATACGTGTATCGTTTGTTTTCAAAAGCAAGGGAAGAAAAAACAATTTCGTACAAAACCGCTGTTTTATTTTCGAGAGTATACCGTCAATCATCGCTGCGTTTTCATACAAAATACACTCGTATTTTTCCTGTAGATATCATGCATACTATGTCTATATGGACTATAGCGATGTATCTTGTGCATAATATAGACATATGCGAGCATCAGCGAGGATTATTAGACAACTTAGCGATACATAGGTATACAGAGATAATAGAGATTGCGGCAGAGAAGAGGATTTCTTCGAGCTTTTTGCTGCCGAGCTTGTTGTTTCCTCAAATTGGATTACATTATTGTTTATTCAATCGTTTGGTTTATGTCCCAGTGCGGTCGGGAAAAGCGCTTGCGCTCCTAGGCAGCGTCGTTGCGAAATGTTCGTAGGAAAAATTCTGCGACTAGAAAGCTTTCAAAGCATCTTAAAAGAAAAGTATTTCAAAGCTTTTTTTCCCACGGTAGATGCGGTAGGATTCCAAAACAAAGTTCACTTTGATATTAATCGTGTAAGTTGGAAGTTTCGTAACTATACTTATTGTTGATCTTGTCGAACCATCGAGATAGTTGAGCACTGATTTTATTTTTCCAATCATCTATCGAATTGTGAAACGTCCAATTAAGCTTTACAAGGAGAATTACCGATATCTATTAGCAAGTAATCAGTCAAAGGTGTACTTTGCCCTTCCAAATAATTTTCGAATGAAAACTCGACACTGCCCACACACAAAAGGACCGAGCTTAATTCTGACACGCTTTCGATGTGTACGTATAAATTCGCAGCGATTTCAAAGTTTCTCTCGATTCGCGCTGCCAAGAAAATTTGGCGCTCTCGCATATACCACAGGCATATACACTCGATAAATTCAGCGGCACTTGTATATCTCAGCTCGAGCGCGCGCGCTCGGCGGCGATACATTTTAAATTCTTAAATTATGCACTCGCTCTCTTCTTTACCCACTGCAGTACATATACGGCACGTACAGTAATACACACACCTGCGAGCGCGATGATAATTATCCATCGTCGTAATTACACTTGCGTATGTATATAAATGTATATTATCGAGCGCGCGACAATCGCGTCGAGAGCGATAAACTGTGCAAAAATTAGCGAAAATAAAAGAAGGTCTCCAGCCAACCAGAGCCCATGGATAATTCAATCGTCGAGTGCATATATATGATACGAGCTGGCAGTTATGAACGTCGAGCTTGCCTTATCCTATATAGCTGCGACGACGAGCTGTTGTATAAACGCAAAAGGGTTCATGATTGCACAAAGGACAGCTACGAGTGGCTCTCTGCGTACGTATATATACGGCGAGATTGAATTGATCGAGTTTTCTCTATGTTTGGCAGTCAAGGTATAGTTGGCCCCTGCGCTTTTCCTGCATTCCACATGCATATCCAGCAGCAGCAGCAGCAGTCGAGTACAAAGAACTCTTCAAGTCTGTAGCTCTCGTCCTATACTCATCGTACGAAAAACAGAGCCACGAATAAAAACGGAGCTGAAAGAAAAACGTCGATCGAGCTGCTGCCGCTGCTCTTTCGATTTTTTTCGACTTTCCGCCGATTCTCGCCCGCTGCACTGCGTCAAAGTTTCGTCATGCCGCACACACACGGTTACGAGTCGCGCGATCGATTTCACAGCTTCGTGTGTGTATATATTACCTGACACGTGCATACATACACACACACACACACACACACACACACACACACACACACACGTATAAAGAGCTGTATATGCATCATTACTATACAACTACCAGAATGGGCGACTAACGGCGTGTCGGTAAATCACTCGACACGCGAATCAAGGAAGCTCGTCTGTGCCGCACGCGCCTATAGAAATGGCGACGATGAGCGCCAAGCGAAATTCGGCAGGTTGCCCTTGGAATTTGCTACCTCGAACTACTACTGCTACTACTGCTGCTACTGCCGAGTGCTTTTCAAGATCAGATGTCGTCGTCGAGCATAGGCTTTTCGCGAGCTATGTGCCGTGAGTTGGCACACTTATTATAACTATACGCGTTCGCAGCGACGAGAACCCCAACTCGTCGTGCATTGTAACGTCATATTTTTTTAATTCGATCGATTCCGTCGAGAAATACGAGAACAACCATGCATGGGTACGCCAAGTTTTCCAAAGATCGAAAGATTGTTCTTTCTTCGAAACATGCTGATTTTGAGCGAATAAAAATATATATCGTTCGAGCTCGAAACGAACTTATAATTTGTTGCCTATTTTCATTATTTTGTACATTATTATTTACATGTTTCGAAGCTGGCCTTGACCTTCGAGCCAGCGCTCCATTTACATCGAAACTTTCAATCTTTTCTGCTCATTCGTTATAATCATTTTACGAAATTCTTTTTTTTTTTTGCAAGTCAAATGAAAAACTTTCAATGCTGCTCACTTCGTTAGAAACTATAAATATACGTACAACACGGCAGCTAATGACTCTTTTCGAAAATTAAATTTCAAATTAATCATTCCGAGATGCACGAGCCACGCGTGTACGAATATAACGTGCCTTAGCAAATCGTGACAATAGCCAAAGTCACACACACACACACACACACACACACACATACACACGCGTAATTTACAGATATATACAGCCGTCGTCGTATACAATGATTACAATCTACAATGTCGCTCTCGTGGCTGCGTATGGACTCTCTCTCTCTCTGCACAATAGGAGAAATAAATTCGCGATAGGCCGAGGCAAGTAGCCAAAATCGTCGCAAGCTCGCTCGCCACATACATAGTCGAGGCTTGTGCTGTGAAACTTAACGAATATCTGCTCGTGCATTTTTCGAGATGTCAGTTATATATCGTCCTTGTTGTATGTATGCCGCAGCTTCTTCTTCGCGGCACGCATACCCGATGGTTTTTTTTTGTTCGTACATCATTGAATGGCGAAAGAAGAGCGAGAGTAAAAAATAAAAAAAAAAAAGAACGGACGTAGCGCCCGTTACAATTATTATACATCTGGGTCAGAACTATAAGCTTTTCCGCGGCGGCGCGACGTTCGCAATACAGACGCAATAAAGCCGACACGTAAAGTATAAGCGCGTCGTGTTTTCCGATCTTTCGCCTATACCATACACATGTATATGTACGCGAGCGATACACGAGGAACATACTCTCTATTTTTAAGCGCGAGCCGCCAAGCGCTGTACTAATACAGAGTATGCGAGAGCCGCTATATACACATAGACACACGACCAAACGAGCGATGCGCGCCGCCGTACAGCTGGCTTTACTACCCCAGGACTTTTTATATACGCGATCGTAAAAAGCTCCGCTACGTAAAAGAAGCCCAGAAGAAGCACACACATACACACACAGACAATGAGAAAGCTCGAGCTTTCTTGAAGATCAGATTTCTTTGTTTAACAAAGAAAAAAAAAATCGAAAGCTCTACTCCGTGTCTGCATGCTACTTATTTTTCTTTGTACAGCGATCGACGGCGTTTCATATAGAGTTACGTATACACTCGGAGAGTCAGATTGTTCCTTGTGCTCTTGTCGAATCGCAGATATGAAAATCGCCTGCATTTTCATTTTCGAGTGCCGAGTGCTCGCAGTCGCGAATAATTCGATAAATTGCCTAGATTGAATAAAAAAGTATAATCCACGATATAACGATTCGATTGATGAAATGCCTGGCTGAAAGCTCGCGCACACGAAATAAGTGGTATGAAATGCTTTAAAACGAGGATACGCCGAGAATATGTTGATGGTGTTTATCTTTAAGCTGACGCGTTCGACAGATGTAAAAGGATTAAACGGTATATTTATCGGTAGCCGGGCTATATGCAAGAGTAAGGTCACGATCGATCGCAACTTCCACAACTGCACAACGTCACTATTTCCAGTGCACCGCGCACATGCAATCGTGTATGCTTTAAGCGCGGTGTGCTCTCCTTACGTATAGTATACACTTTTGGAGTCCGCGATTTTTGATTGAAATGATGATTGTATTTCTCTCGCTCGTTTTGTTTTTTCATATTCGTCGAATTCAAGGATTTGCAAAAATTGACCTCACCCCCGCACGGGCATTGTAAACGATCGTCCGTCCGTTGAACGATTATAAAATCGCGAGGACACGAGGATATATCCCCAAAAACAAGCGAGATTTACGTATTAAGCATCGACTGCACCGCATCCGTAATCCAACCGTTTTATTTCCTTTTTCGCGCGCGACACGTGTAGGGTTTAATTTTT